CTCTACCACTTGAGCCACAGCGCCACTTCTGGCTTTTTTCTTTTTTCTTATGTGGTGCTGAGGAATCGAACCCAGGTATGCAAGGCAAGCACTCTACCACTGAGCCACCTTCCCAGCCCCACCCCCCCATGAGACTCTTATCTCCAAATAAGCACAAAAAAAAGCTTGAAGTGGAGCTGTGGCTCGAGTGGTAGAGTGCTAGCCTTGAGCACAGAAAACCCAGATCCTGAGTTAAAGCCCTGTGACCAGCACCCCCCTCCTCAAAAATAATTCTTTTCTAAAAGGTAGAAATGGCAGCAGACCCAGTTCTTCAAGCCACAGTTGTCTCTCTGTTCTGGAACTTAGGATAAAGATTATAAAAGAGAGAGAGAGCTAGAATTCATTGAGGGCTAATACTCTATCTGCCATTTTCCCATATACCTCTGAACAGGTGGATAAGGAAATCAAGGCTCAAAGAGCTCAAGTTGCCAAAAGGGAAATCAATACAAAAGAAACATAAAGAGTCAAACCCAGGCCTTCCTTTGGATCCAAAGGATCCCTGGGGATCCTTTGACACACATCCAGAGGCATTCAGCATGAAGTTATTTTTAGTTGTATTTTTGGTGTATGTTTCTCTCACCACCACAAGGAAAATGAAAGCAGTCAGCAAGGTCGAACTTTTCCTTTGCGATTTCATGCCGAAAAGCCTCCTTTCAGCCACACATCTTGCAGCTGACCTATGTTCTAGTCCTGGGCTCCTTTCCCACACTATTGTCTGCCTCAGCCTGGACAGCTGGACAGAACCTCACTGAAGCAGACAGTATCCTTGGGGGATACAGTCAGCTGTCAGTACTCACCATGAAATTGGTGCCAGTGCAAGACTGGTTACCAGCTACATTGGCCTACCAAACAAGTGCTTGGTATTGTATTGGTTGGGAGCTAAAACCCCATTCTTCAGAGCTGCAAGCAGGTTTGAACCCTCACCTCAGCTCACCTCTCCAAGACTAAGGATCTTGCTCCCATTTCACAGCTGGGAAAACAAAACTCAAGAGAAACAGAGGCACACTCACTGTTCTGGAGAAAACAGAGCCAACCAGGCCAAGAGCCAGAAAGCCCTGCCTTCAAGCCCTGCCAGGTCTCACTGACATCTTCCTATCCCAAGAACTAGCCATCAAAACCCTCCACTGTGCCTCCCGGCTTCACTCTCACCTTATCAATGAAAGAAGCAAACTTGTTGTTGAGGGTTTTGATCTGTTCCCGCTCCTGAGCCTTCACTTGCCCCATCTGGGGGTCAATCTCCACATTGAGGGGCTGCAGGAGGCTCTGGTTAACTGTCACTTCCTGGATTCCCCCAGGGGGGCAAACGGCAACAAAGCCAGCAGACCCCCCAAAGCCACCAGCTCCCCCAAAGCCTCCTCCCATTCCTCTGCCACTGCCAAAACCACCTCTATAGACACCTCCAAAACCACTACCGCAGCTACTATGCCCTCCACCAAAGCCGCCAGCCTGGGAGCCACCAGCCGCCACACTCATGGAGATGCTCTTGTTTCCACCCAGGTTGTAGAGGCTGCGACTTCTAAAGCCACCTGCTCCACTCTGGAGCCCACAGGCCCCTCCACTGGCTCCCTTGGAGCCGGCCACGCAGCTTGTCCTGCCACCACCACTGCTGCTGCTGCTGCTGGAGACCATGGCTGAGCGGCCAGAGAAGCCTTGGCTCCCACCACTGAAGGATTTCTTGCAAGCTTGTCTGCTCATGGTGAAAGATCTGGGATGTATGCTAGAGATCCCTGGGCAAAGGCAGAGCAAAGAGATGAAGGCAGAGTATGGGGCAGCAGAAGAGGCTGGCCTTTATATTCCAGGACATTTGGCTTGGCAGGACCGGCGAGCAATTAGTGGAGAGTCATCTTGGGTTTGGTTCACCTTGCAGGCAATGTTACCTCTTGGTTCTCAGCATACCTCAAAGCTAATCCTCTGGACTAACATGGCTTTGCTTTCTTAACTTAATCACCCAAACTTGCCTTTGTGAACAGAAGACAAAGTTCTCTTCCTTCTCTTTGTATGATTTTCCTCAAGAGTCTCAAAGAATCCAAGCAAGCACCTAGTCCAGCAGGATGAACTGGCTTTAGACCCCCAAGAGTTGAGATGTTGGGTTCCATGACATGAATGTCATTGAGTTCCAGAATTCAAATAGGCCAAGTCCTTTCCAATGCTCACACATACTAACAGTGATTGTTGGGCATTACCTTTTGATGGCTCGTCACCTGTGCCCAACCTTCAGAAGGCCCGGAGGTGAGAACTGTACTGACCCCAACGGGGTCCCATCAACCACCAAGGCAGCCAAAAGCATTTTTTGTTCTTAATATATATATTTTATTGTAAGGATACTTTACAGAGGTTACAGTTACATGAGCAAGGTAATGAGTCCATTTCTTATCAAACATTGTTACCCCCTCCTTTATTTTTCCCCACCATCCCTTTCCTCCCCAACTCCCCAACTCCTCCCCCCCAAAAGTTGTAGAGTTTTTTTCAACATACTGTCTTGTACATTACATTGTTACAAAAAATGGATCATCCTGTATCCTTATTTAAGTATTTTGTTATTTCCCTTCCCTCCCCAAGTTAGAAAAATGTACATACAAGATGCAGGGCACTGGAATCAAATACAGTGACAACAGGGGTTGTACCACAGGGGAAGAACGTACAAAGAAACAAAAAAATCACACAGTACATTATAAGTACAATAAAAAGAACAAGAAAGTTAAAATCTCTTGTGTCCCTATCTTGGGGTTCATTTTGCTTAGCATCAGATTATATGTGCACAGCTTTTTCTATCTAAGATCTAGAGTTTGGGTAGAGAAATGCTGCTTACAGGGAAATAGACATGTCTGGTCCCTAAGGCTCACAATATATACCAAACAAGTATGAAGCATGGGGAGTAGAAAGACACATGTTGAGGAAGGTCCCAGACAAAGCCCTGCACCTGCCATAATAGAACAATAGCAGGGGAGTTCTATATCCAGAAGCAAGAGGAGACAGAATGGAAGCCAGCTAGTAAAGTCAGCTCCACAGTCCTATTCATCTTGGGATGAGAATGAGTGTCATGTCTAGGCCCTACCTCACATCTGGAGGTTATGTTCTTCTTCCTATACTCCCATCTTGTCTGGTTGGTACCCCTTTCTGTGTTCCCTCCTATCCTCATTCTTCCCCCACATGGCCCTCTCCACCTGGCATCACCATGCTAGTCCCTGAGCTCCTCCAGAGAAGGGCTGAGTACTGCCCTGTCCTTTCTGACTGCCCAGCTTCTAGCACATCAGGTTACACACCCCTCAGATATGTTAACTGCTAAGAATAGATGTCTAAGAACACAAATAGGGAGACCTATACCCCCACCGTAGTCCTCAGAATGAACATCTGCAGAGGAAGACATTTGGGTTCTGTACTTATATCAATCCTTATAATCCAGAAAGTTTAGGAAGCCCTTGTCTAGACCACAGGAATCCTACCTGGGCCAGTGGTGGCGGGTTGAAGGCTCTTTAATGACAGAACAATGCACAGATGAATTACTGCTCTGATTTCCAGAAGTTCAACTGCTCCCCACCCCATACCATCCCACCTCCACTCCCAGCCATGCTACATATGGCAAACTCTCTTGTTGCTGTCACCATATGAGACTTCACAGGGCATGAAGGAGCAAGGAAAGATGGACTCTAGATTCCCCACAAAACAAAGATCTGTTTCAGATATTTCACATGTTTCATCTCCAGATTTTTAGTCAAAATGGCAACTAGCACTGTCTCTGGATGGTGTCTATAAAAGTCCGTCTGGGGCTGGGCAGGTGGCTCAGTGGTAGAGTGCTTGCCTTGCATGCCTGAGGCCCTGGGTTTGATTCCTCAGCACCACATAAGCAGGAAAAAAAGCTGGAAGTGGTGCTGTGGCTCAAGTGGTAGAGCGCCAGCCTTGAGCTGAAGAGCTGAGGGACAGCGCCCGGGCCCAGAGTTCAGGCCCCACAACCGGACCAAAAAAAAAAGCCCATCTAGAGGATTGGTCTGAAAACTGAAGGACATGGAGTAGAGGTGTCAAGTGCTTTCCATCTGTCTCTTGAGCCCTTTGACCTTGAACAAGTTAACTTTTTTGTCATGAGGCTTGAACTCAGGGCCTTGGCACTGTCCCTGAGCTCTTTTGCTCAAGGCTAGTGCTCTACCATTTTGAGCCACAGCTCCACTTCCAGTTTTTGAGTGGCTAATTGGAAAGATGTGTCTCAGGGACTTTGCTCCCCTGCTGGCTCTTCAGATCTCAGCCTTCTAAGTAGGTAGGGTTACAGGCATGAGTCAGTCACCAGCACCTGGCTGTTACTTAACTTTATGCATCTGGTTTCATCAGTTCTGAAGCCGGTACTTCCATGGGACTGCTGTGAGCTTTGAACCAGCACTGTGGGATCAACTACTATTAGTACTCCCCCTGGGGTCACAGAAGGAATGTTACCTTGACTTTGACTGTTCTCAGGATCCATTTGCACCCCTAAGAACTCACCAGGTAAGCATGATGGGGAGGCGGGGGTTGGGTTGGGAAGGGAGCTAGGAAGATAGCTCAGTGGTAGAGTGCTTGCCTTGCATGCATGAGGCCCTGGGTTCGATTCCTCAGCACCACATAAGCAGAAAAGGCTGGAAATGGTGCTGTGGCTCAAGTGGCAGAGCATTATCCTTGAGCTGAAGAACTGAGGGACAGCCCTCAGGCTCAGAGTTCAGGCCCCACGACCGACTTTAAAAAAATGGCATGGGGAAAAGAAGCTGAAAAGGAGAGGAGAGTGAGGCTACCCACTGGAAGAGCTGGTGAGATGCAAACTAGATGGAGCTGGCTTGGATGACCTCAGACCATGGTTGAACACATCAGCTCTATGCTCTACTCTGTCAACCTGTGTTTGTGCCTTGGGAGCTTCATAGGGAGCTTCACAGCATGTCATATGAGTGAAAGTCCTTTGAAAATTACCAAATAACACACAAACAAGCAGCTGTGGTCTAATAGAATGTCATCATAGAATTTGGGAGAGCTAAGTTCAAATTCCATCTCTTTCTCTCATCCTAAGGTGACCTGGGAGAAGATCAAAGACCTCTCTTCCCTTAGTTGTAAAAGGAGACCCTACTTGTGGAATTGTTCTGCAATTTAAACACATAGAATCCTTCTATGCATGGCTTTTTAAATCATTGACCATCCATAGGAATGCACACAGAAGACATTTACTCCCACTTGTCAATTGAATGCCAGACACTCCTGGTAAGGTCTTTACTTATATTCTCTGGGATTCATTTAAAAGCAAATCAAATGCTTTGTCTAGGAAGACAGCCTGGCTGGGTATCCCTGACACCCAACCTGGGGGAGAAAGCAAACAAAGACAGACATGAATGTCTCTAAGTCCTTACTCTTCCCTGGGTTCCAATGGGTGGTGGCTCGTAAGTGTAGCCATGGCTGCCACCCTGGCATGTATAGGATCATCACAAAAGCCCATGTTTGGGTTGAGATCCCCCAGCTCACGCTGCCTTTGCCTGCCAAAGCACTACCTTACTGAGAGGCCAGGGTGGTTTTTTCAGCAGCTGGATAAATTTCAGGAAACACGTTAAGTTGCCATTCTCTTCAAGATTTCCCTCACTCACAGAAGGATCTTGTAGAAGAGTGGTGTCTGCGTGAGCTGCCTGCTACTAGCCATCTGAATTCTAATCCCTCACCTTCTAGAACCGTCTGCAGGAAAATTTACAGATGACTGAGTACTCTGGAATCTCACTTCCCCACCCATAAAACAAGAGAGATTGTCATCAAGTAGAGTTATGTCCCCTGTTAAATCGTTCTCTGGTATTTATCTGAAGCTTAAGAGTTGTCAGTATAATTGTGAGTGGAGGCATGAATCAGTAGTCTTTACTTCTAGGTCAAGGTGAGAAGATAACCCTCTCTACCCAGGGTCTGATGAGGATGAGGATGTGACAGTTGGGTTTTTTTGTTTGGTTGGTTGGTTTTGTTTGTTTGGTTTTTTTGTTGTTGGTTTTTGGGGGTCCAGTCGTAGGGCCTGAACTCTGGGCCTGGGCGCTGTCCCTCAGCTCTTCAGCTCAAGGCTAGTGCTCTACCATTTGAGCCACAGCACCACTTCTGGCTTTTTTTTCTGCTTATGTGGTGCTGAGGAATCGAACCCAGAGCCTCATGCATGCAAGGCAAGCAATCTACCACTGAGCCACCTTCCCAGCCCAACAGTTGTTGTTATGTACAGAAACATTATTGATGTGAGAAAGGGAAAGGAAAGGGGAAACAAGGAAGGGAGAGAAGAGAAGAAATGAGGGATGGAGGGAGGACCTGTATGATCCCAGTCACTCAAGAATCTGAAGCTGGAGACTTATGAATTTGAGTCCAGCTAAGGCAAGGAGAATTAAACCCTTTTTCAAAAACAAAAGGGCTGGAATCCTAGTTCAAGCAGGACTGCACTGGCCTAGCAGCTTTGAACTCCAGGTTTAATCCTTAATACCAGAAATACAGAGACAGAGACAGAGAAAAAGAGAGATGGTATGAAGAATGAAATCATTCTAAATATGTTACTTATAGACTGAAAATCAACATTCTTCTTTTTATCATGTTAAAAATAAAAGCTTATCACTACTGTAATAGTGTTACTTAATCAATGAATAGTAAAATTTTATTATATTGGGCAGCTGGGGGGAGAACAATGGAAGGGGTGCCATTGATCAAGATGCGCTGTACTCATAAACAGACATGTT